CCCACTGTAAAATTAAATGGATGTGTGTTATAATTTCACTGGGCAAAACACAAAACAGGAACTTTTAAACCAAAAAAATAGGCTACAGTAAAATCTGACACTTGCTTGACCTGGAGAATGTTCCAAAGTGTGGTTTTAATTACACAGAACTGACTCTTGTGACATTTAAGCCATGTTATAATGTTGTTACCCCCTCAAAACCAGACCTGGAGTTGTGTTTTGTTTCATTCACATTCATGTTTGAGGAACCCTTTAAAATTAGTTTGTGTCTCAAAGCTCAAAATGCTGTTCCACCTTGTGATGTCGTGTAGTGCTAGTTTTCAAGTTAAGCATTACCTTTTATATCTTTAGTTCAGTAGAGATTTCCAGCACTGAAACGATCCAAATGATTCTCGTGTTTTAAGTTTTTGAAAGTATTTTAAAAGTAGAGCACATCCTGTATTACCACGTGACATCACAAGGCGGAACAGAGTGTTTACTATGTGAGAGAAGGACTAAATATGCAGGGTCTGTGTGTTAAACTTGTGTGAATGAAACAAAATACAACTTCAGGTCTGTTTGTGATGTCACTTGGTAATACAGGAAGTGCTAAAAATCCATACACCTTCACTAGAATCACTTGGTTTATCTTCCTGGAATTTCCCAACTCCATCCATCCATTTTCTTCCACTTATCCGGGGCTGGGTCGCAGGGCCAGCAGTCTAAGCAGGGACTCCCAGACCTCCCTCACCCCGTACACTTCGTCCAGCTTCTCCGGGGGGACCCCAAGACGTTCCCAGGCCAGCTGAGAGACATAGTCCCTCCAGTGTGTCCTGGGTCTTCCCTGGGGCCTCCTTCCGGTGGGACATGCCCAGAACAACTCCTGAGGCATCCGGAACAGACTTCCTCACCTCAGCTGCTCCTCTCAATGTGGAGGAGCAGCGGCTCTACTCCGAGCTCCTCCCATGTGGCTGAGCTCCTCACCCTATCTCTAAGGGAGCGCCCAGCCACCCTGCGGAGGAAACTCATTTCTACCACTTGTATCCGCGACCTCGTTCTTTCGTTCATTACCCAGAGCTCATGATCAGAGGTGAGGGGAAGAACGAAGACTGACAGTAAATCGAGAGCTTTGCTTTTCGACTCAGCTCCCTCTTCACCACAACGATGCAGCGACCACATCACTGCAGACGCTGCACCTGTCAATCTCACGCTCCGTCCTCATGAACAAGACCCCGAGATACTTGAACTTCTCCACATGAGTCAGACAATTTCCAAACTGTATGAAACAAAAGGTAAAAGGTAGCGGTTCACTTGAAAACTACCACTTCTTGACATCATAAAGAACAGAACAGAGATGTAGACTTAGGTTACTCAAACATGTATGAATGAAACAAAACTCAACTCCAGGTCTGTTTTTGAGGAGGTAACAGCATTATAACATGACTTAACACTCACAAGAGTCAATTTTGCGTAATATAAGACCTTTACAAATGCGAAAATACAGCTTAAACTTGTATATAATCAGTTATTCAATCAATATACTAAAAACAAATATGATAAGTTATATGTCTTACCTGAATAGCCCATTTTCAGTCATATTCAGTAACATTTTTCTGTTGGCGATATAGTTTTTGAGGTTGTAACATTTCCCACTATTCCCAGTTCATTGTCTCGGGCTCTGTGCTTTTTCATGTTTTGATTCATCATTTCCACACACTGACAAGATTTCCCAGCAGCCGCTCGGAATTAATTTGGGCAATTAGGACGCATCTGCAGCCTCTCCACGGTGCACGCTGAACGATGTTGTTTGCTCCTGCTCCGTTTTGTGATTAAGAATTTACAAATATCACATTTTTAACAGTGAGAATTGTATGATAATGAATGGGTTTCTCGTTTTTCAAAGTTTTTAGTAACACGTCGTGGATAGAGAGGTAGTTAACCGGAGTCCATTTGGTGGTTTTATGGTAAGCAAATATGCTAAAGGGGGTAGAGTAAACACGCTTTTATAACGCTACTAAAACTTTATGTTGCATTCTATTGCTATTGCTTTCTGACATTAATATACATTTCAGAATTTTTATGATGAGACCAGCAATCTTGGACTTAATAAGGGACAAAAAAAGCATCGCAAAAGATTATTAAACATTGACTTATATTGAGGTTTTTGGACGTACAGAGTTGGAAAATGATATAAAAGTGCTGAAGTTTGAACAGTAGGAAATAGTAGACATAAGGGAACAACAGTGTGAATTGAAATTAAATTATTATTATTATTTTTTGTTTTGTTTTTTGTTTGTTTTTGTTCCTTGATTAGAGTGGCAGCACTTTAGCTTTGCACTTTTTTTTTTTTCTCAACATTCCATTGTTCCAACACACAAGGTAGACATGGTTTTATTCTTGATTTTATTGGTTTAGACCTCAATTAGACCTGGGTTAGACCTGGTTTTAGTCCTGATTTCAGTTCTGGGTTAGTCTTGGTTTAGACCTAGTTTAGACCAGGTTTAGACCTGGTTTTACTCCTGATTTTCAGTGCTCTGAAAAAGTGTCTGTCCCCTTCCTAATTTCTTACTTTATTTTTTTCCATGTGTGTCTCTCTTAACTGTTTCAGATCAGCAAACAAATGAAATACTAAACAAAGATAACCCAAGTAAACAAAATAAATAAAATAAATAAATAAAATCACAGAAAAACTGCATTTTAAGAGAAAAATACTACCCAAACCTACATGATCGTGTGTGAAAAAGTAATTGCCCCTCTTGTTAAACAATGAAGTAACTGTGATTACCGTATTTTCCGCGCTCCGCTGTCGATTATAAGGCGCACTGTCATTGAATGGTCTATTTTCGAACTTTTTTCACAAATAAACCGTGTGGGACTTTAAAGGAAGCCCAACAGTTGGATGGGTGAATGGTTTTGTTTGTTTGTGGCGTTCACGGTGACTCTGGGCTTTGTTCAGTTGTGGCGTGTAGGGAGGGTGCTGTCTGGGACCAACGGATTGTCGGCGTGTTCGCAGTGACTCAGTTGTGTCTAGAAGTGGCACACTGCACTCGCTTTTTCAGTTCGTTCCTCCGTTCCTCGTCGGCGTGGAGTGATGAGTGTGTCTGCGGGTGTTTTTCGCCGTGCGGTCGCTGTCTGCTCCGTGTGTGTTTGCGTGCGCTGCGGCTTTGTAGTTTACTGAAGTCGTGCTGGGACACCCGAGTGGATTCGTGTATAGTGCGCTCTGGATTGTGGGGCGCGCGGCCATTTTTTGATGGGGTATGGTGTGGAAAATACGGTAATCTTATTAATGTGGAAAGCTGAGTTCAGTTTGATAGCCACACCAGACCTGATTGCTCCCAGTCCTTTGAAATCAAGAGAAAAACAGACAGTTATTGCAAACACTTAACTACAGCTACTAACCTAAAATTTACACCAGGAGCGTCAGCAGCATGTAACATAGACAGAGCAGTATACATGTGTATTTTTAAAAGTTTAAGTTTTAAAAGCTCCTGTGGATTCTCACGTTTAAACACTAAACTTTTTACACTGTTTTTGTATTTATTGTTCATTGGATGAATTATGTTTTAAATCACAAAACAAATGATGGCAATAAGAGAGACAGTGCTTTACAGCTATAAAAAGCGATATTTGTGGTGCTTGCATTAATGAAGCTACTCAGCATTTCACTTTGGTCGTCTGCTCCACCACCTTTTCCTTCAGAAGTTGTTCTTGTAAAGTTTCTGTCTGATGCCGTAAAGTGTTTTATATTCATCATCTGCGGCTGTAAACTTTCCCTTGTCCATCACGAGTCATTCCCCCGAGCTCCTGATGTGACGCACGGTGTTTACGTGACTCTAGTGGTTTAGAGAATGTATTTTGAAAAGGTATCAGAAGTTTATTTTGACACCATGTGCCCATTTCCTGTCTTTCTCCTGCTAAAAAGCCTAGAGATGCTCCACTGACATTGCAAAATTAGAACTCCAACCTATTTTAAACGGCACGTAATGTAATGATGACCGTTTGACATGTGTATGACTCTGCTGGTGTAGATTGTCCAACCGGTTCGAATGGAAAGTGTGCATGTGCTGCGTGTATGCTGTGCTGTTACGCTTTGGTGTAAATTGGAGGTCAGGGTGGATCAACCAGTTATTAGGTTTAGGGGGCAATTATTTTTTCCACATGGGATATGCAAGTTCAGATGGCTTTTTTCTCCTTAATAAATAAAATTGGCTCTTAAAACTGCATTTTGTGTTTACTTGTGAGTTATCTTTGTGTAATATTTAAGTCGGTAAGGGAGCAAATACTTGTTCACAGCACTGTCTGTATCAGCATTTTATTCCGTTTAGTTGGTGCACAACCTGGAATTTTCTGCATTAGGGCTTTGAAGCTGCACTGTGCAAATTGTCTGGTGGGGATCATATAGAGATATATTATTGTTTTTGCCTGGAATGTTCCACAGTATGACTTTAAACATATCTTATCTCGCATTATGTGTGTTTTTATTGCTTAAAGAGTTGAAAGACGTTGAAAAACATGCATTCATCCTGGTTCTCTCCAATGCTCATCCAATTTTCCTGACGCGATGTGCAGCAGTTTCATTAGCGAAATGCACATGTTTAGTGCTGTGATAGTGCTCTGGAGGGGGAGTGACTTAGCAAGGGGAGCAGGGTTGTTTTAAGTGAATATAACATTTTCAAATCATTCGACAGTGTGACATTAAACGGCTCTACTTTACATTTATTCAATTACATTTGATTTTATAGCTCAAAGATACCTACAAAAACTGACATTCTGACTGAGCAGGGTCGCCTCTCCACAGATCTGATCAGTAGCTTGGCCTGGTTTGGTCTCCATGATGATAGAAAGTTTTAACAGTTCAGACAAAGCAGTAATATTTTCATGGAGAAAAGCATTTAAATATGTACATGATAACGCAGATAAATGGATTTAAATTTGCTGAAAACACTATTGAAAACAAAAACTAAACACGTTTTCAGTTTCGATTTCTAAGACATCATTTCTCTTTTTCTCTTTTCTTCCAGGTGGTGTACAAAAACAACGACTTCAAGCTTGAACTCTCGCGACTCGCCATCGAACGCGACCCCAAGATCACCCTGAACGGAGACTTGGTTTTCCGCTGCGAAGACGTGGCCGCCCTGGACCCCGTCACCTTCGAGACCCCGGAATCGTACATCTCACTGCCTAAATGGAACACCAAGAAAACCGGGTCTATCTCCTTCGATTTCCGGACCACCGAGCCCAGCGGTCTGCTCCTCTTCAGCCACGGTCGTCCACCCCAGGGCCCCAAAGAGCAGAAGCCAGGGAGGGAGCTGAAGACGGACTATTTTGCGATGGAGTTGTTGGATGGGTACCTGTACCTCCTGATTGACATGGGGTCGGGGAAAACCAAGCTCAAGGCCAGCCACAAGAAGGTCAACGATGGAGACTGGTGCCACGTGGACTTTCAGAGGGAAGGGAGGAAAGGTGAGTTGGTTGGAACTTTCATGATAGTAAATACAGATAGAGAAGAGGGTTTTTTTGTTTGTATGGGACAAGATCTCGTCCCAGATAAAAATTTTTATTAAATTAATTTTTCTTGGTGAAATCCATGTATCATTAGTTTTTTTTTAAATAGAAATCCAAAAATAAGAAAACGAAAAAACTATTTTCTTCATTATTTGTCTCCAAAACCAAAAAAACAAACAAACAAAAAAAAAACCAGATGATTAGTTTTTTTCAGTTTTCAATTTTGTGTTTAAATAAATAATGCGGAAAAAAAACGGATGATGGCCATTTCCCATTTACATGAGTTATACCAGACTTTTGCACCCCATACAGACTGAACCAGGACTAAACCAGGACTGAACCAGGACTAAACCAGGACTGAACCAGGACTGAACCAGGACTGAACCAGGACTACACCAGGACTAAACCGTTTTCAGTCCTGGTCTGGACTGTGAGTGGGGTCACCTCTCCACAGATCTGACCTGTAACTTGGTCTGGTTTGGTTTCCATGAACATAGAAAGTTTTAATACAGGCATGTCCAAACTATGGCCCGTGGGCCAAATGCGGCCCTCAGACAATTTTTTCTTGGCCCTCAACATTTTAGGAGAATTGGCCCAAATTACCTTGCACCTATGAAAAATTTACATTTTATTGCAAGTTTTTTGAAAATGTAAATTAATAAAGCCAATATTTAACATATAGTGTGTGGTTTTGAGGATCTTAATATGAATAAAGGACATTCTAATGTGTTAAACATGCAGATATTTCAATTATTCACTGTATTTAGCACCAGTCTAAGTCCCTCGAGTGGCCCTCTGCTTTGTCTGTGTTTGGATATGTGGCCCTTGATGAAAAAAGGTTGGACACCCCTGGTTTAATACAATACTGTGAAACATTCCAAAGAAAGCAGTAAGGATCTGGATCTCATGGAGAAAAGCATTTGATGAACCCTAAACCAGAAAAGTTACACAATGCAACTTTGAGTCATTTTATGTCAATATTATGAATTTAAATGTCTAAATTATAAAGTAAGGATCCACGGGTGTCCTAGATTATAACTATAGCAGACACAAGCACAGTATGTCTTCTTTAAAACTTAGAACCTTATTTAGAAATGTAAGATTGGGCGAAATGAAGAAGTATTTTTCTACCAATATGGGATACAAACATTTCCTCGTGCCAATTTGCTGATCTGCTTTATTAAAATTGTTAGTGATTGCCGTGTTGTTTTTTTGGCTCACTCGATATGCGACAGTTGGGCGTAATATTGTCGGCTCAAGAAATATGTGTCACCAAATGAGTCGGTAACTACAGTAAATGAAGAGGGACAATTTTATTTTTAGGTTGGGTCTTATTTTGTCCAGACACCATTATGTTATAAAACCATTGAGGAAAAATGGCGTAATCACAGCTATTCAGTTTGCCAAAGTCGCTAAAGCAAAAAATAGACTTCTGAGGCAGGTCAGGAGATTTTGTAATTCTCATTCAAGAGGCTTTTGCCAAATTTGGTTCATCGAAACGTCATCTCCAAACCAAAGACGATAAGTTCTCCAACAGTGTTTCTCAAACTGTGGTAGTACACAAGCTTCTTTAGAGTCAGTTTAATCCATAGTTTTGTGCTCTCATATTTTGGGATAGTCCTTTTTAGTTTTAGATTATAACTAGTACAGCAGTGGAGACCTAGTTTAGATCTGATATAGGCCTGGTTAGAGCATTGTAGTTATTTATTAGTGCCTCAACCGGAGAGGGGTTTCTTCAGGGAAAAACACAAGGGCTGCTCAGAGCAAAATAGGCCTATGACGAACCAGACCGGAACCACATTTCTGTCTGGATGCTTTGCCCCACCTTGGAACCAGTCGCGACCCTCGAACACAGAGGACAGCTAACAATCTGGTGGACCCTCTTGGACCTATAGTTCTCTGTGCACTCTCGCTTTCCCGTCCGGAACCAGCACACAGAGAGCGCTGCCACAAGATATAACATACCAGACTGGATCCATGTGTCTGTCCGGATGCTTTACTCCATCTTGGAACCAGTCGCGACCCTCGAGCACGGAGGAGATAACAATCTGGTGGACCCACCCGGACCTATAGTCCTCTGCGCAGTCTCACTTTCTCGTCCGGAACCAGCACGCAGAGAGCGTTGCCACAAGACATAACATACCGACTGGATCCATGCTACTGTCAGGATGCTTGAACCTCAGAAACAGGCGTGTGCAAGTCCACTGCACACTGGGCTTGCACGCTTATCTAACCAACAGACCTTACCTCTCTATGGTGAATGCTACCGTGTCTTAACCGAGGCTGGCTGCTGCTACTATCCGAACTCGAACCCATGTGAGCGTGGCGATCATGGCTCTATTAAAATAACTGGATAAGGTGCTGCTGCTTGTAGCTGCCTCCAGTTGACGTAGTGGACAATCACTGGTACTTCAGCGAAAAAATCCTCTGGGCTGAGAATGGATTTTTCTCATAGAGCGCAATGTAATCACAAACTGCTCGTGTTCGGCTGACAGGGCAACTTTCAAAAATGTCAGATTTGTTGGCAATTTTTACCTATTTTTAGATCATTCACTTTTTCTCAGCTCAAAATCCTTCAGTTGTCTTAAAAAACAATTTATAATCCTTTTGCTCCAGCTCCTCTCGCTCTGACTGGTTAAAACGATCACGTGATCCAAAAGACCGTGCTCCATGCTTGCGTTTGCGTGAACCTGCGAGAGAAAAGAGCACTACTGCACATGCTCAATCGGCCCAGAGCCAGCGGAAGTACCTCACCGGGCTAAAGACAAATCTGGAGTGATGTGCCATTTAGCTCGGCCCATTGGCTTGAATGGGCGGTCATTTTGAAAGCTTAGTGCATCGATCTCAAAATATTAACATCGATGGCCTAAATAAAAGAGAACTCAAACATATGTGAATGAAACAAAACACAACTCAGGATATGTTTTTGACGAGGCAACAGCATTATAACATGGCTTAAAGCTCCACAAAGAGTCCATTTTGTGTAACACCTTTAAAAAAAAAAAAAAACAATCATTCATCTCTCTATTGTTGTTTGTTGGTTTAGTCTCTTAATCAATTGCAATTTTCCCTTTTCACAACACAGTATTTTCAATTACCAACATAAATACAACCTTGGCTACTGACCAAAAAAAAAAAAGAAAATATCACTCCACGAAACCGAAGCTCTCCATTCGTCGTTCTTGACAGTGACTGCGCGAGCCCAAACCCTCAACATCTGCCTCTCCGCTCTGACGAATGATCCGAAGGTGCGGGCCTCCTCGGACATTCTATCTCTCCCCTAATGACGTCTTATAATGAGCGAGGCGGGCGTGCGCGAGTGTGTGGGAGCGTGCGCGTACCTGTTATCTCACCGCTGCTCGGGCTGTAATTGGCTTTTAATAGAAAATTAAGACGGACTCGTTAATCACAGAAGAGAAAGCGAGAGGGGGGTGGGTGGGGGGGATTAGGTTTCGGTTTCATTCTGCTCCCCTTCTCCTCCATTTAACTCATTACACACACATTAGAAGTCATTGTCATACGCGCCCTCGCTTCTCCCTGTAACGCGGTGTCCTTTACATATCCGGTTAGTTTATGTATCAAAGCGTCAGCCGGCTATTGTTCTCGAAGCCTATTTGAAGTGCTTGATATTTGAAAGCTAGGTAGGGTAATGGGGAAATGTAATTATGGAGTGATCAGCGTTTTTTAGATTGAGTTCACGCGGCGTCGCTGTTTTTTTTTTTTTTTTTTCTTTCTAGAATGATGAAATGGAGCTGGAGGACACACCAGAGTTCTGAATTTGTGGAATTTGCTGTTCAACGGTCTGATTGCAGATCTGTTGACCTGGTTTGTGGTTACTGTCTTTGTAATTACTCGGTCTATCCACATGAAACAAAAACTGGTGCGAAGTTCGAAATCTTTGTCAGCAGCAATGAATAAAAAGGTGTTATTTCATATTAGCTTTGGAAATCAGACCTACCGTACCTATAAGTCGCTCCGGAGTATAAGTTGCACCAGCAAAAAAATGCATAACGAAGAAGAAACAAAAACAGTCACACTTTTTGGGGGAAATGGAGTTTGTAAAATCAGAGATCAGGAACCAACATTTCCGACAATAGAAGAGAGAACAACAGTCTGTTAACGTCACATATGAACAGTTCTTCAGATAAACTATAGCATAAACAACAGAACAGAACAAGTTTACCAAACTCTCCATCTCACTCCAAATCACTAAATCCATTAAATTCTTCATCCTCGGTGTCACTTCTGAGCAACTCCGCAACCTCCGGAGGTAAACGCCGCTTTCTCTTCTGCGTAGCTGACGTCAGACTCAGCATCAGTTCCAGTTAGAATTATTCCAGCCTTTCTGAATCCCAACAGGATGGGTTCGGTGTCACTGAAGTCCAGGCTTTGTCCATCCATCCAGTGACTTCCAGGAAAGTTTCATGGTGCAACCTCCCGGTGTCACAAGTTTCCTGCTCACTCCAAACTTTATTTCTGCTGCTCGATTATCGTTTTTGGCTGCAGATTTCTCTACTTGCAGCTTGTAATCTGCAAAATATGATTTTCTTTTTGGGGGCATTTGTGTTCAGTCATCTCATTTGTCTTTATAAATTTGTTTAAATTGGTACAGAAGTAATGGTGCGATCGACCGACATGATACAGACAGGACAGAGGCTCTTTCTGCAGGAGACATGCGCAGGAGAGCCAATTGACAGTGGTACAGGAGGAACAGGAGCAGCAGATACAGACACATAAGACTAGAGCCTCTCGCGGCCGTCAGTGTCAAAATTTTAAGTCATATCGGAGTATAAATCGCAGGAAACACCCAAACCATGAAAAAAAGTGTGACTTATAGTCTGAAAAATATGGTATTATTCAAAACCAAAAACGTGATTGTTGTCAAATGGGCTTCAAATCACAAGGTAAGGTCCTTTGCAAAAGAAAATGTAATTCTGTCAAAGTAGAGTCTTTTAAGTAGCTTCTTCAGTTCTGACAGGATTCTGGTACGTCTCTGCTTTACTAGTATAGCTGTCTGAAAGGAGGTACTAATTAAACTGAAACTAACACACCCTAGTCATAAGTAGCATCTGTTCTTAGTTAAATCCACTGAACTGTCCTAAGGTGTGAACGGCCACTTGAGTCAGAGTTTTGCATAATCATTTATAAGCAGCTTTCACAACTTTTCAGAATCCAGACAAGAGTTTTGCTGTCACTGTAACGACAACAACAACAACACTTCAAAAAACCTTGGGATATAAACAGTAAAATCCATCAGAAAAGAACTTAAAAGTAGTAGAATTATCTCTCCACGCAGCAAGATATTTTTACTTGACAGGTTATCTTAAAATAAACTACCTCTAGACTAAAATTAAGCGTCGCAAAACTAGTAAGTTGATAATAAATCTGGAAACAAGGTGAATAACCTGATATAAGGTTTAAAATCTTGGCCAGATCAGAGAAATTTGCAGTGAACAGCCAGTTTTGACCTCGAGAACTGCAAAATATCTGTACTGGGACAAGACAAATATAACAAAAGTAAACACACGGACAAAAATCGGGTACAGGCCCTTTGATTAGACCTGGTTTGGTCCTTTTACTGTTCAGTTATAATCTTCAATAAATCCTCAAATCCTCTGTACTCCAAACTATCCCTCTTTTTTTACACTTGGGTTTTGGAATTAGTTTTTTCATACTTTATGTTGTTAAGGAACAAAATACATGTAACAAAAGGGCCTTTTTAAAACTCTATTGTGTAACTTTTCTGGTGGAGGGTCCTTCAAAATGCTTGTCAGACCAAGTTACAGGTCAGATCTGTGAAGAAGCGACTCAGCTCAGAGTCAGAATGTCTGTTTTTCTAAGTATTTTTGAGCAATAAAACCATGTGTAATTGAGTAAATGTAGGTTTTGTGAAGCTGTTTAAAGTCATACTGCGGAACATTCCAAACAGAGCAATAACATATCCATAGAAACAAGCAGGAGATGAACACCTGAACAAAAAGTTGCACAGTGCACTTTTAATTAGACCTGGTTTATCCATTTTGCAGTTCTAGGATAATCTAACAAATCTCGACACCCGATCCTAACAATTATTCCCACTTTTTTTCCACTTTTAGGTTCCATCTCGGTCAACAGCCGCCAACTGCCCTTCAGCTCCCCCGAGGGCAGCGAGATCCTGGACCTGGACAGCGAAATGTACCTGGGGGGTCTCCCGGAAACCAAGTCCGACCTGATCCTCCCTCCCGAGGTGTGGACCGCCCTGCTCAACTACGGCTACGTGGGGTGCGTCCGCGACCTCTTCATCGACGGGAAAAGTCGAGACGTGCGCCGCCTGGCCGAGATCCAGAGCGCCATGGAGGTCAGCAGCTTCTGTACGCGGGAGCTGCAGAAGAGGTGCAGCAGCGCCCCCTGTGGCAACGGAGGACTGTGCAAGGAGGGCTGGAACCGCTACATCTGCGACTGCACCGGCACGGGATACCTGGGGACCAACTGTGAGATCGGTAAGAGGTGGTGGAAGGTGGAAGGTCTTAGGGGTGTAACCGTACACAAAAATCATGATTCGGAACGTACCTTGGTTTTGAGGCTCCGTTTCGGTTCATTTTTGATACAGTATGGGAACAAAATGCAGAACCATTTGCTTGTTTATTAAACCAACAATTAGTTTTACCATTATACAAACAGGAACATAAAATAAATGCAAAGTGCTGCTTGGTAATACTAATAAGTTCAATAAAATATTCTCAGATGAGCAAAAAATGTAATATTATAAAAAAAATAGATTCCTTGTAAACAGTAACCACATTTTTCAAAAAGTAAAGCGCAGCACTAACAGTTCCAGCGTGAAGTTTTACTCAATCTTCATATTTTTGGCCAGAAAAAAAAAAAACGTGTCCACATTGTCTGGAGTAAGTGCAAATCTGCTGCAGTTACAACGTCTCCAGCAGCTGAAAATACACTTTCACTAGGGACAGAGGTCATGAGTGTAGGGGTTGGGGGCAGAGATTCCGTGCTGGCAAAAGGTGAAGGTGAGGACCGAGGCGCGCCGATCGTAGTTTTATAAGGATTCAAATGGTTTGGAGGGACATAGTCAAGGCGAGCTGCAATTGTTTTCAAGGCGTTCACAATAACTATAAAACGCTGCGGGAAACACTTCCACCCCAATCACGGACGAGTTCCCTTGTGACTAGTAAAGAGCCGAGCCTTCCGTGTAGCTGCACATGTCGTGGTGGAATGTAAACACACACAAATTGCGCGAACTCACTCGTGCACAGACCTGCACCGAACCGAATGTCCCGCACTGAAATGGTTGAATACATGAACCGTTACACCCCTAATTGGTCTGTATTGGTTGTGGGCTTTTGTTTGTTGATTATTAAAGTTGGGGTGCCTAATTTTTATATCACAGAAGAAAGAAGTAGGTATTTAAATCTGTCTGACTTGTCCGAGCGCTCAAAAACAGTAGCACATTGTTCATCTACAAGAATTTACTTTTCTGGGCAGTTTTTTAAGAGTTTTAAATGTTTGTTTTTCCTTCACTTTATTATAAGACAGTAGCTCAGTCGGCAGAGCGTTTGTCCGTTGATCCGAAGGTTTGAATCCCACTCTCGACGTAAAAACATCGTTGGTTGAGCGTTCAGATCCATCCAGATGCTGTTGTTGTGTCCTTGGGCAAGACACTTAACCCACCTCGTCACCTGTGTGTGAATGGGTGAGCGGTTCCTTGATGTAAAGACTTTTGAGTGCCTTGAAGGTAGAAAATCACTTTATAAATAACACTGAATACAGTATTTACCAAGAAGCAGATAGAGAGCGCCAACCTCGTTTTCCAGAAGTAAATTTCCCATAATAACATAACGTAAGAGTTGATGAAACGTTTTAATAGCTTAGCGGTTTTCTCTTTAAATAAAATTATAGGTCTTGTGGTCATTAGTTACCACATATCTGATTAGCCGTGAGCAAGCTTTCCAACTTTAATATTTTGCTCAGAAAGTCTATTGGAAAAATTAATGAGGAATTAACGTCCGTGTCCGGGGGGAGTCGGGCTTCATGTGGTCTCCGGGGGAAAACACAGAATCATCAGGAGCTTAAATTGACATATCGGCTGGGTCATTATACAAGTTCTGACTAAAAGCTCAAAATGAAGTGAAAAGAGAGGAGCTGATGCTGTGTGACCAACTGCCAATGATAATTAATTCAGTATATTCTTGTCTATAATTTACACTTATGTGATATTTAAGATATAGAGAAATGTTAACACTAAAATATAATCCGTGTATCGTTCGTTCATTCGTTTTTCAAAATAAAACCAAAAATAAGAAAATGAAAAAAAACAACTGTGTTCTTCAAAACCAAAATGAAAAAATGGATAACGATTCATTTTTTCAGTTTTCGATTTTATGTTTAAATGAATCATGGAAAAAACGGATAACGGCCGATTCCCGTTTCAGTGACTTAAACTGTGATGCCGGACTTTTGCACCGAATATGGACTGAACCAGGACTGGACCGGGACTAAACAAGGTCTAAACCATGAGTGATCCCAGGACTAAACCAGGTCTAAACTAGGACTAAACCAGGACTAAACCAGGACTAAACCAGGTCTAAACCAGGACTAAACCAGAACTGAGCCAGGATTAAACCAGGTCTAAACCAGGACTAAACCAGGTCTAAATCAGGACTGATCCCAGGACTAAACCAGGTCTAAACCAGGTCTAATCCAGGACTAAACCAGGTCTAAACCAGGAATGATCCCAGGACTGATCCCAGGACTAAATCAGATCTAAACCAGGACTAAACCAGGTCTAAACCAGGAGTAAACCAGGTCTAAACCAGGCCTAAACTAGGACTAAACCAGGACTAAACCAGGTCTAAACCAGGACTAAACCAGGTCTAAACCAGAATTGAATCAGGAATAAACCAGGATTACACCATGTCTAAACTGGTCTCAGTCCTGGTCTCAGTCTTAGTCTGGTCCCGGTTTGGTCCTGTTCTCAGTCCTGGTTTAGTCTTGGTTTGGTCCCAGTAAACGTCCATTATCCATTTATTCATTTAAACACAAAATCGAAAAACTGAAAAAATGAATCATTATCCATTTTTTCATTTCAGTTTTGGAGACAAATGATGAAGAAAATAGCTGTTTTTTCTTTTGCTTATTTTTGGTTTTATTTTGAAAAACAAATGAACAAATGACACATAATAATAACTTTTAAAACGACATTGCTTTTCCACTCTACTTTAACCAGAGTAAAATCCACAAAACCAGTGTATATATTAAGTTTGAACACATGCTCACGCGCACGGAGCAGCTGCTGTTTTATACCCGACCACATTTCCACTGGGGGTTATTTGTATGGAGAAAATGCCTCCCCCGTCAGGTGCGTATATCCGGCGTACAGTATCCGGGCTCGCAGACCGGGAGCGGGAGGACAGGGTGGAGATGCGTCTGGCAGGTTGGATTGGTGATGCATTCAGGCCTAGCTTAGCCATCTGTGCGGTTCTGTTCGAGCCAGGTGGTGTAGGGCCCTGCTGGGAGAAGGTGGGGCCAGTTGACAGAGGTGGGTAGAGCTAAAGCCGCAACCAAAACAAATAAACAGGCAAATACGTCCGCTCGAAAATCTAGTCGCTTTAAAATAAAACGTCAAAAAGAAGTGATGATAAGAATGATTTCACAAACACAAACTTGTAAATGGAGAAACTACTGTAGGAAATGGAAGTTACTGGAATAAAGTTGCAAGTTTCATATATTTACAGTAATATAAAATTAAATTAAATTAAAATATTTTTTTCTTAATTATATTATTATTATTATTATTATTATTATTTTTATTTTTATATATTTATATTATTATTTTTAATCTTTTTATTTTTGTTATTTATTTATTTTTATTTTATTTTATTTTTTCATTGTCTGTTAAGGGTGGGTGTGGGGAGGGCATTTGTGTATTTGTACATCTTGTGGCATTATTGTGTGGCCGTAAGACCACAATATAGGGGAAAAAATAAAATAAAATAAAATATATATGACAAAAAAATTTAAACTGTAGAAATGAAGTGAAAACATTGTCAAATTTTTATATAACTCTTTTCTACCTTCAAGGCGCTCAAAGCGTTTCACACTCTACCAACTGAGCTTCTGTCAAACCATATTATTATTTATTTTAAATGCTGTGATGCAGACAGACTTTGAAAACTGTCACTTATAAATGCAGCAGTTATGTTTTTGTGATTCTTTGAAATGATACGCCTAAAACCCAATGGGTCAGATTTGGCCCTAATCCTAAATTAGGGAAAACAGGGTAAAATTGTTATAAGTTCACTGAACACCAAAATATCCACTTTTTCAGTCATTTAATGCATAGTTCATAATTTTCCAAAGAAGAAAAGAAGGGTTCTTGGGTTCTTCAAGGCTAAACCGGTCTTAGTCCTGTTATCAGTCCCGGTCTCAGTCCTGTTCTGGTCCAAAACAAATATACTGACAAATACATACAGAAAGAGCTGCTTTAAAATAAAATAAAAATAAAAAAACTTTAAAAAGTTTAAAAGTAACAATGTTTTCACAAACAAAACATGTAAATGGAGAAACTACTGTAGTAAATGGAAGTAACTGGAATAAGGTTGCAAATTTTGGTATTTCATATATTGATATTAAATTAAAACTGTAGAAAACTGTAAAATTTTTATATAACTGCTTTCCACCTTCGAGGCACTCAAAGCGTTTAACCTCAAGGAACCACTCAGACACTGGGGGTGAGGCAGGTCTTGTCAAGTGTTTGCCCAAGGACACAGCGACAGAATTCATTTTTGGGAGCTGGAAATGTACTGCCAACCTGTGGGTCAGTGGATCTGACGCTCTTATCAATGATGTTCACGTCGAGAGTGGGATTCAAACCACCAACCTCTGGATCAATGGACAAACACTGTACCAACAAAGCTACTGTCGAACCAAATTATTCTTTATTTTCAAACATTGTGACGCTTGCAGGCTTTGAAAACTGCCACTTATACATTCAGCTGTTATCTAAAGTCATTGAAAGTAGTAACAACTTACCCCCAATTTACACCGAAGTGTAACAGCACATAAGCGCAGCAACACTCGTGCAGGCATCGCTTTCCATTTTAACCGGTCAGACAGTTTACACCAGCAGTGTCATACGCACGTCCATAGGCTATGCACCGCTCAAAATAGTTTGGACTTCTATTTTTGCAGTGTCAAAGGAGTGTCAGGGGAAAGACAGGAAATAGGCACGCGGTGTCAAAATAAACTTCCGATGCCCTTTCATAATACATTCCCTAAAACCACTACAGTCACATAAATATTGTGCGTTTACAGTTTGTGGAGGATAAATATAACCAAACACTTTTGCCACACACACTATATACTTTCTCATAAACCTATTCAAATATTACTTCTGGTATTGCTAATGATACAATTCAAGCTTAGTGCTACTCTTAGACAAATATAATATTTAAAAAATACCTTGTAAATGTGACTGAGTACATGT